ACCGGCGCAGTGGGGCTGGCTCCCGAGCTGCCTCCCCGCCGCACCGGTGCTGCCCCTGCCCGGTGCACACGGGGATGCGGCTAAGCTTCTTCATGGGGCCAGGAAGGGCGGGGGGATGGCGGCAGCACCTGCTCACCTACGGGGTGAGTGCAATGGGGACCGCGGCTGAAGGGCAGCACCGGAGCCGGCGGGGATCGACCGGTGTCACCAGTTTCCCGCAGCCCCGTCCGGAGGGACCGGGAAGACCCCACGCGTGGCCCCCCCTCCACCCCACGGGCGACGTGACCACCGGCTCCAGCGCGGAGCAGCGGGCGGGAGCTCCGCACCCCGCCGGCAGCATCCCGGCCCCACGCGACTCACCGCAACCGGGCTGCGATCAAGCGGTCGCCGCACCGGCAGCGGTACCGGTCGGTCGTTGTCCGCGCAGCCCCCGCCGGTCCGGTCCGTTCCGCTCCCACCCGCGCCGCTCACCTGCGCGCCCCGCCCGAGCTGCGGGACGGTCCCGGGGCCGCGGCCCCGCCTCCGCCTTCACCTGCCGCCGCCGCGCCCCGCCCGCGCCCCCCCCGCCGCCGCCGCCGCCGCCGGGGCTCCAGGAAGCGCCCGCCCCGCTCCGCTCATTGGGCAGCGCGCCGGCGGTCCGGCCTCCCATTGGCGGGGGGGGCCGCCCATCAGCCCCGCCACACCCCCCCCCCGGGAGGGCGGGGGCCACGCGGGCTCCCCCCGGGGAACGGGGAGCGCTTGGGGGGGGGGGGCATGGGAAGAGCTGAGTCAGAGCCGGGGGACGGCGGCGATCACCGGGCCCGGCCCCGGGACTGGGGCGGGTGGGGGTGGGGGGGCAGCCCCGGACCCCCGCCGCCTCGCCCGGTGCCAGGCGCCGAGCCCCGCGGCCGGCCCGCCCCGCTCCGCTCCGCCCCGTGGGCACGGGGGGCGGGGAACCGGGCCCGGGGGAGCCGGGCACCGTGCGGGGAGACCCGGGCACGGAGCGCAGGCAGCGGGGTGCGAGGGGCGCGGCGGGGCCTCCCCCGCTCCCGGCGGCGCTGGGCAGGGCGCGGCGGCAGCGGCCCCCCCCCGAGCGGCCCCTCCGCAGGTGCCGGGGCGGGGACCCCGTGTAACCTGTTTGGCCGCCGCCGGCCCCCGGGAGGCGGCGGGGCCCGGCCCGTCCCGGCGCTCACCTCGGCTCACCCCGGCCCCCCCCCCCCCCCGGCTCCTTCTGACTCAGAGCCCGGCCGCTGCCCGGCGCTGGCGGAAAGTGTGAGGAGCCGGAGCCGCCGCCGCGGGCTGCCAAGGCAAACACCGCCCCGCGCAGACGTTATGTCAGCCGGGCCGCGCCGGGGGCACCGATACGCCACCGGTCTCCCCGCCCAGCTCTCCGCCCGCCGGGGCCCGGTACCGGGTACCTGCCGCCGTGCCTCGGTCCACCTGCCTCACCGCACCCCCCCACCTGCATCCCCGTCCGCCCGCCCGCAAACCCTGCCCGGACCCGTACCCACCGGCCCGGCCCGGGGCTCCCGCAGCGGGAATCAGGGAAGAGGGGAGAAACCCGCGGAAAACCCGCTCGGCCCTCCCGGCCCCACCGCCCCCCGGCCCGGACCCGGTGCCCCCGCCGCTCCCCGCAGCCGCTGCCGGAGCTGTCGGTGCTCTCCCGGGGGCCGCCGCCCGCTGCCCCGCAGGGCTCCCGAACTCACCTCCTGCCCGCGGGTCGCGGAGGGGCCGGTGCCGGACGGGGGCCGCGGGCCCGTGTCAGCCGGGCCGGCGGCGTGGCAGGAAGGACCGGGCGGTCATCGCGGCCCGGGCGCGGCCGCCTGCAGAGGGCACTGCCGGTCCCGGAGCCGGGCCCCGCAGGCGGCGAGCGCGGCCCCGCGCGGCACGGACGCGCCCAGGGACACCGAAGGGGTCTTTGGTGCCGGTGGCACCGTTTATTTGGGCTATAAATACCGGAATGTCCCGGACCGGCCACAGCACCCGCCCCGCACCCGTCAGCTGTGCTCACCTGCCCCACAACCTACCGCACACCATCCAGCTGTGCTCACCTGCCCCACAACCTACCGCACACCATCCAGCTGTGCTCACCTGCCCCACAACCGACCACACACCATCCAGCTGTGCTCACCTGCCCCACAACCTACCGCACACCCATCCAGATGTGCTCACCTGCGCCACAACCTACCGCACACCCATCCAGCTGTGCTCACCTGCCCCACAACCTACCGCACACCATCCAGCTGTGCTCACCTGCCCCACAACCTACCGCACACCCATCCAGCTGTGCTCACCTGCCCCACAACCTACCGCACACCATCCAGCTGTGCTCACCTGCCCCACAACCTACCGCACACCCATCCAGCTGTGCTCACCTGCCCCACAACCTACCGCACACCATCCAGCTGTGCTCACCTGCCCCACAACCTACCGCACACCCATCCAGCTGTGCTCACCTGCCCCACAACCTACCGCACACCATCCAGCTGTGCTCACCTGCCCCACAACCTACCGCACACCCATCCAGCTGTGCTCACCTGTGCCACAACCTACCGCACACCCATCCAGCTGTGCTCACCTGCCCCACAACCGACCACACACCATCCAGCTGTGCTCACCTGCCCCACAACCTACCGCACACCCATCCAGCTGTGCTCACCTGCCCCACAACCTACCACACACCATCCAGCTGTGCTCACCTGCCCCACAACCTAATGCACACCCATCCAGCTGTGCTCACCAGCCCCACAACCTACCACACACTCATCCAGCTGTGCTCACCTGCCCCACAGCCTGCCCCACACCCATCCAGCTCTGCTCACTTGCCCCACAACCTGCCTCACACCACCCAGCTGTGCCCCTGCTGCCTGCCACGGCCCTGGTCCTCCCTTCCACTGCTCTTGCCTCTGTCCCATTTCCCTCTCCTCCTGCAGCCCCCGGTTCCTGCCACTCTGTGTTGCCACCCCCACCCCCCGGGGGGGGGCACGGAGGGGGGGGGAGGGGGGGGGGGCTCCTGCATCGAGCTTTGCTATTTTTTTTTACAAAATTAATATAAATTAAAATAAATTTAACCATTAAAATAAAATAAAAAAGGGAGAAAGAGATTAAATAGTGCCCTGTGCCAATGAGAGCTCTGTGGCTGGGCAGCGGGGGCCAGGCACTCCAGGCACTGGCTCCCCCCACCTCGAGGCTGGAGCAGAGGGTGCCCTGGGCCAGGACAGCCTCACTGCAGGTAGAGGCTGGGGGGCAGTGGGGGGGCCCCAGCTCATGTCCCCCTTTGCAAACCGCTTTGGGGGGGGTCTCCCTGGCAGCCCCCCGCCCACTGCAGCCCCTCAGCGCGGCCGGTTCAGCAGGACCTCGAGCCAGCAGGGGCAGGAGGTGATGAACTGCCGGGAGTAGCAGGGCCCCCAGCCCTTGGCAAAGCTGATGCGGACGCTGTGGGGGTCACAGGGGCCCTCCCCAGGGACCCGCCGGCCCCCGGGCCCCCCCACGTGCTCGTAGTCGAACACCTTGGCCGAGTAACCGGGCAGCACCTTGAGGACGGGGAGCCCGCGGGCGCCAGGGGGACCCAGGGTAGGCGAGCTGACGAAGATGGGGTGCTCGCTGCGGTTGTAGGCCCACACGCCCCCTGGCTCCCGGCTCAGCAGCAGCCCCCGGCCGATCTTGCCCCGCGCCCGCCGCACGGCCCGGCTGCGGTGAGCGGCCGGTAACTGCCCCAGGCAGAAGCCGCTGCCCCGCGGCAGCTCGCAGAACACGTTCACCGAAGCCTCGTGCACGGCGTAGAGGCGCCCCACGCGCGTACGGTGCTCCCAGTAAGCCAGCTCGCACCAGCAGCCGTCCTTAATAGCGCTCCGTGAGAGGCTGGTGTCTGGTGGGAAGGAGAGCATCACCATCACCATCGCGCAGAGACACCCATGGGCGAGCCGTGCGGCTGGAGGAACCGAAGGGAGAGGGTCCGGGGGGTCCATGCTCCCATGGTCCCCACCGGGGCCGTGGCAGTGGGTGGCTGGATGGACACGGCCCCGCAGGGATGCTCCAGGGCAGGCTCTGGCACCGCTGATGCCAGCGCACGGGGCCAGCCTGTCCCTGGCCGCAGTCCCCCGGGAGCACGGTGAGGGGGATCCCCGTGCGTGAGGAAGGCGCGGCCCCGGCTCCCGGTGCCGGTGGCCGGCGGCCAGGCTGGAGCTGCGGCCGTGTGCGTCAAGGCGCATTGTGTGCGTCCCCGCGGGCAGCGCTTCCTCCGGCACCGAGCCCGCCGGCGCCAGAAATAACAGGAGCCGCGGTGGGGGGGCCCCGGGCAGGAACCCCTCGTCCTGCGCCAGAGCCTTTTCCTTCCAGCGGGAGCGGCTGCCAGCCCCGCTCCCCAGGTCCCAGGCTCCGTGTGCCCCACCGGAGCCGGAGGGGGGGATACTGCCCCGCGTCCGTGGGGCAAAGCGGGGGGGGGGGAATCAAGCAGCCCGTGCCGGGACCCTCTTACCACGCCAGTGGCCACCATCGTAGCTGAACTCCAGGAGCTGGGTGCCGGGGAACGGGGACTCATCCGGCCAGGAGGGACAACAGGACACCTTCGAGTAGGGGGGCGGCGGGGTCTCTGCGGGAGAGAAGGGGACGAGGGGCTGGGACGTGCATCCTGCACCCCGCCAGAGCCCGGAGGCCCCCCCACCGGCAGCACCCGGCCGCGGGCAGCACTCACCGGGCACAGCCAAGCGGCTGAAGTGATGCGGGTTGCAGCAGAGCGCGGCCGCGTCCCCGCAGCCCCCCCGGCCCCCGGCGCAGTAGCAGAGGTGCTTGAGCTCATGGGGCTGCCGCAGGTCGGGCCAGCGGTAGAGGCGGCAGAGCAGGACCTGGGGGGGCAGTGCCTGCTTCACCCCCCCCCGAGACTCCCCCCGCGGCGCCCACACGCAGCCGGACTCGCAGGCCCCCCGGCTCTCCACCGCCTGCACCAGCAGCTCCAGCTCCTCATCCTTCAGCTTCTTGAACAGGGCATGAGCCGCCGGCTTGAGCGCACCGGGGCCGTCCTCGGGGCCGGCGGCCGCGCAGCGCTGCCGCCACAGCCGCCTCACCAGCGCGGCGCGGCGTGAGCGGAACATGGGGGCCGCTGCGGGACGGGGACAGGCGTCACCCGGAGCCGGTTCCCCGCAGTGACCGCCCTGCCCCGTCCCCACAGACCCCGAGGACACAGCGCTGCCCCTGGGGGACGGTGTCCCCAAAGGCCCTGTGGGGATGTGACCCCAAAACCGATCCCCGGGGCAGGGGAGCCCACCCGTGGCGAGGGCAGGGGTCTGTGTGTGTGCCCCCCCCCACCGGACTGGGACAGGGTCCCTAGGGAAGAGGTCCCTGGGATAGGGTCCGTGGGGATGGGGTCCCTGGGATGGGGGCCTTGGGAACAGGGTCTCTGGGGATAAGGTCTCTGGGGAAGGGTCTCACTCACGGCACAGCAGATCTGGGTGCGCGGGGATGGGGCTGCGCACGGGGCCGCGCTCTCCGGCTCCGCTCTGCCCGTGCCCCGCCGCTACCCCGGCTTTTTCCTGTGCGGGGACGTTCTCCCCTCCCCCGGACCTCCCCGTCGGGGAACTCATTGATTCGCCCCGTCCCGGCCGGCCCCGGGGCTGAGCCACCGCGGGGCTGGGGCAGGCGCCAGGCGCGTGGGCTCCGGCTCAGGGCCGCGCTGTGGGGGCTGCTGGAGCCAACCTGGCTCCTGGGGGCAGCCGACACCGGTGCTCGGCCACAGCGACCCGGGCAGGGGGGAGCCATGGAGGGCACGGGCCCGGCAGCCCCCAGCCCATATGGGCACAACCTGAGCCCCACTGACACCCAAAGCGGGGTCCCCGCTGCCCCCCAGCCCTCCCCCTGGCCAGGCCCCCCCCAGGGGCGCTGGGCGAGGGTGGGAGCCTGCTCTACAACAAAGCCGTTAATGTAAACGGGACCCTTATCCCGCGCCGGGCTGGGCTTCCTGCTCCCAACTTCCCGCCGAGATAAGGGAGGCCGCGCTGGCGCCAGGCACTGCCGCCGGGGCTGGGGCCTGGCTCCGGCACCAAGGGGCACAGGGGGCACGGGGACCCCCTGTGACCCACAGCACAGCCCCACCGGCCGTGACCTCCCTGCAGGTCCGGCCACGCTGGGCCTGTCGGGGACGTTCTGCTCTGGCTGCTTCCCGCTGGCTCTTGGCAGCGCCAGGGCCGGGGCAGGAAAGGACCTGGAGCAGGGACAAGGGGAGATGCTCTTCAGACAAGGGGCTGAGTCATGGATGGGGATAGAGGTGGCTGAGGGACAGGCAGGACACGGCTCCTGCCCCAAGGGGCCCCAGGCACAGGTGACGTTGGGGGGTGCCTGGGACCTACCCAGGGTGAGGGCTGGGACAGGACATGCCCCCCCACCCTGAGTCCTCCCCAGGCACACGCAGCTGCTCAGGTGCTACTCAGGTTTATTGGGGTCTCTGTGACGGCAGAGTGGGGTCCCAGCACTGGGTATCCATTGGCTCAATCAGCATGGGGCAAAAAGCAGGCAGGCCTGGGGAGAGGAGAGAGGTGAGGACCCCCTTACAGCACCACGGCTGCACCCCTCAGCCCCCAGGAGCAGCACGGCCAGGCTCCTGTCACCTCTCAAGCACCACTGTTGGGCTCTCATCACCCCTCAAGCACCATGGCTGGGCCATTGTCCCCCAAAGTCCCCACGGCTGGGACCCCAGCATCTCCCCAAGCACCATGGCCAGGCCCTTGTCCCACCCCAACCACCACAGCCAGGTCCCCGTCCCCCCCCAGCCCCACACCGAGCAGGTGTCCGAGGGCAGGGCACTCACCCATCACTGCGCAGGGCAGACAGGAGGTGCCGGGGGGGGTCCATCCCTAGTCCAGCAGCTCATGGATGCACCAGCTGCAGAGCAGGAGGTACACGCACTCCCGCAGCAGCCGCAGCAGCCAGGAGGCCAGGCGCAGCCCCAGCGAGGTGCCGACAGGTACCGGCAGTGCCACGGCCCGCACCGATTGCCTCACGGTGCCCAGCGGCTGGGCTCGGAGCAGGCGCATGGCCGAGGGCTCAGCGGGGTCTGATGCGGGGATGCGGCCGGGCGGGTGCATGGCGAGCGCTGGAAACTGCTCCATTCTCTGTGCTTTAAAAGCCTCCACAATAGCGGGGGTGCAGCAGGGGGAACCCTTTTGTTCTGAGCTGGCCTTACCCCCCCAAGCCCCGAAGGGATGGGCAGAGCCAAGCACGAGCACGATGCAGACGCAGGCTGAGCGCAGCAGGTTTATTCAGTGCTGGCAGGCAACAGGTTTATTCAGTGTCATACCCAGGGGTGCCCGTGCGGCCTTCACCGGCGGGACGTGCGCTCCTCCTCCTCGTTTTCCAGCTCGTAGGCAGGCCGGTACCGGTCCCGGCCCTGGCTGTCGGTGTAGCGCAGTGCCGGGTTCTTGAGCGTGTTGGCCATGCTCCCCAGGGACGTGTAGCTGCAGAGGGAGAAGGCAGCTGCCAGGCTGCACCCCGGGACACTGGCTCTGACAAGCGGGGCATGCAGCACTGGACACTAACCCCTTGTCGTACAGGACGCAGTAGGGGACAAAGAGCTGGCGCAGGAACTCCCAGATGTCCCGGTAGGTCCAGTCCTGCAGGCAGAATTGGGCAGGGGTTGACAGAGAGATCCCAGAGGAGTCAACTGCCCCCCACAAGAGCACACAGGGAAGCCCCAGAGCGCTCCTGTCCCTCCTGGGGCACCCCCAAATGCAGGAAAAGCCCCTCTTCAGGCAGGAAGGAGCCTGGTCTGACAGCACCAGGCAGCTTGGCTGCAGTGAGGGGCACCCATCTGTGCAACAGCGTGGGAAATGCTCTGGGGAGAAGCCCTCCAGGATGGGCGTGGGTTAGTGCCAGCTTCCAGCTCCATCACTTGAGCCTGCCCCAGAGCAAGAGGAGGCCACGTACCAGCAGGGGGTTCACCCGCATGTACCGGGGCCAGCTGGGGTCCGTCAGGCACATAGGGGTCAAGGTGCGTGAGTAGGGGTCCGTGCGCCGCGTCCCCATCAGCACAGCCTCGAGCTGCGGCTGCTGCTCCTTCAGGTGCACCAGAGCCTCCTGAATGGAGCCCTCCACGGTGCAGAGCTGCACCTTGTACCTGTGCAGGCAGGGCGGGAGCTGCTGTGGGGCTGCAGGGCTCCCTGCTCACCCCACAGCCTGCCCCTCACCCCCTGCACCTCTGCACAGTGGCCTGGATGAACTGCTCCATCTCAGGGAAGGGGGACACGATGCGGATGTAGAGCACCTGCAGCTTCTCTTGCCTTACCGGGTACCGCCTGTGGAGAGACCCATCACCCAGGGGCTCTGTACCCCTGGAATCCACGTGTTCCCCCAGAGCAGGCCAGGGGAGAGCCCCGGTTGGAGCCCATGGGACCCCCTCAGCCTGCCCCAGGCCGGGTACCTCTCCACAGCAGCATGGACGAGGTGCAGCAGGGCTGTGCAGTCCTTGCCCCCGTTGAAGCCCACGCAGAGCTGGGCCAGGCTGTACCGCTCCAAAGCCTCCTCGATGGTCCGCAGAGCTGCTGCCACCTTCTGCCCCAGGGCTGAGCCTGCTGGGACAGGGCAGTTGGTGCCTGCCCGGGGTTATGCTGCCTAAGCAATGCCCCAGGGCCCGTGGTACCTTGGCCTTCAGGCACATCTTGTCTCCAGACACACCATGGAGCCAAGAGCTTGCATAACCCGGAGGTCTGTGCCACGGATGGGACAGGGATCCTGCCAGCACCGTGGCTCAGCTCCCTCCAGCACAGGTTGTGCTCTCAGGGACCGGCACCCGATGGCCTGAATTGGGGTTCTGGGTCCCACTCCCACCTGTGGCTGTGGCAGTAGCAGGGCCGCAGCAACCCTCAAGCCCCCCAGAACAGGCAAACTCTGCTCCCAGGCTGGTCTTCCCACTGCACTGGTCCTGTGAGGCTGGGCACTGCTTTACAGTGAGGGTGGTAAAGCCCTTGCACAGGATGCCCAGAAAGGCAGTGGATGCCCCATCACTGGAGACAGCCCAGGCCAGGCTGGATGTGGTTCTGAGCAACCTGCTCTAGCTGGAGGTGTCCCTGCCCACTGCAGGGGTTGGACTGGATGAGCTTTGGAGGTCCCTTCAACCCCAACTGCTCTGCGACTCTATGATTCCCTGTACCTGACTCAGCCAGGCCGTAAACCTCCATGGCCGCTGGCGCGATGCAGTCCATCACCAACGGCACAACAACGCCCGGCGGCAGCTTCTCCATCAAGAAGCAATGTGCTTCCTCCAGGTCCTGCTCCGACTCCGAGTCCAGCATCAGCTTCACCCGGTAGTAGTTACTGGCCCAGTCCGGGTAGGAGCCCAGACTGACACGGCCCTGGAAGGCGGCATTGACCTGGTCCAAGGCGGGCGCGATGAGCACCTCGTCGGCCGCCACGTAGACGGCGCGGGAGTGGAACCGGGTCTGCTCGCTGCGGAAGAGGTGGGCGAAGCCGTCCAGGGCGCGCTCCATCAGCGCCGGGATGCCGGGGAAGATGTAGACGTTGCGCACGCTGACCAGCGGGTACTTGAAGGCGCTGCCCGAGCCGTAGTTGAGGCGGGAGGACGCGGGGACGAGCGCCAGCTTCATCTCGGGGCACTGCGCGTCCGTCGCACCAAAGAGCCGGTGCACCAGCGCCACCAGCTCGGGGTGGGGAGCGACCTGCTCGCCAAAGGCCCTGGCCACGGCCTCGAAGGTCACATCGTCGTGCGTAGGGCCGATGCCCCCCGAGGTGAGCACGAAGGTGAAGCGGGCGGCGAAGGCGGCCACCTCGCCCGCGATGGCCTCCACGTCGTCGGGCACCACCGAGATCCGCGCCACCCGCACGCCCAGGGCGCGCAGCCGCCGGCACATGAAGAACGAGTTCGTGTCCTGCGTGTGGCCCTGCGGGGGAACGGAGACACGGGTGACGGGGGGGGGCGGTCCCGGGGCAGCCCCCCCGCAGCCCCGGCCGCACCTTGAGGATCTCGTCGCCGATGACGATGATGCCGGCGGTGCTGCCCCGCGCCGCGGCGGGCCCGGGGGCCGCCATGGGGCTGGAGGAGGCGGCGCGCAAGGCCCCGCCCGCCCGCAGCGCCCCCCGCAGCGCTCCCCACATGGGCCCGGCGCGCCGCTCCGCCGCTCTCAGGCCGCGGTACCGCCTCACGCTCCCATTGGCCAGGCGGCGCGTCCGTCACAAGGCGCTGCGGGCGCGGATTGGTCAGGAGGCGGGACCCGGCGGGGGCAGAACCATCGCGGTTGGGTGGGGGAGCGGCGGCCGCGGGCCCGCCCGTCGGGAGAAGGCACGTGCGGCGCCGCGGGGCACCGGGAGCTCCTCCCCCCCGTCCCTTCCCATCCGCACCGGAGCGCTCCAGCACCCCCCAACACCGCCCTCCATCATCACCCCCCTCCCCAACCACCGGGAGGATCCCCCTTCCCCCCCCCCGTACCGGGCGCCCCCCGCCGCCCCCGTTCCCAGCGCAGCACGCAGGAGGTCACAAACAAACATCTCTTTATTGACCATAGAAACAGGCAGCAAGCCGGGGCTGAGCCGCCAGTGCTGCAGCGCCCGGGTAGCGCCGGGAGGCGTGGGGCAAAACTCCCCGAGGGTGATGCTGAGGAGGAAGGTGCTGGCTCGGCTCGGGCCGGGGGCCTCTCACTTTTCCGGCTTCTTGGGCAGCGGCCGGCGGAAGAGCAGGATGTGCGGCTCTGCGGGATAACGGGGAGGGGGACGGCGGTGTCAGGCCAGGCCCCGCGGCCGCAGCCCCCCCCTCCGAGGCTCACCTGGCTCGTGGATCATGTAGTGCACCCAGCCCTGGCTCTGCTGCACGCCCAGGTTCCGCCACTCCGACTCCGAGAGCAGGTGGGTCTTGGGCACCAGCTTCGCGATGTCCTTGGGCAGCATCACGTGCCTGCAACGCCGCGGCCTCAGCCGGGACCGGGGACACCGGGGCCACAACCCCAGGGGCACCGGTACCGGATATCCCCCCCCCAAGTGCGCCTTTACCGGGACACCCCCGGTGCGGCCGTTACCGGGACATCTCCCACTCCCAACGGAGCCGTTATCGGGGCGTTTACCCCCCGAGGGAGCCGCTACCGGGAAATCCGCCCCCCAGCAGAGCCGTTACCTGGACACCCGCCCCCCCCCCCCCCCCCCTCCGAGCCCCCCACGGCCGCCCCCCCCCGCCTCACCGGTACTCGAACTCCTCATCGTCGTACTTGTCGGAGTAGTAGATCTGTTTGTGCGCCATGGCCCGCTCCTGCGGCCGCCCCTCCCCGCCGCCCCCCCGCGCCCTCACCTCAGCGGCCGTTGGCGCCGCCCCCCCTCGCGGCGCTTTCAAACGCCGCCGCCCCGCGCGCTCAGTGGCCGGCGCCGCGCAGCGGGCGGGGCGGAGCCGGCTCCCATTGGCTGCCGCTCGCAGGGCGCCGCTGGCCCGCGGGGAACAAGCGGGCGCGCTATTGGGGGAGCCGGATCACGTGGCGGGGGCGCGGTGAGGCCGCGCTGGAGGGTGCGGGCCGGAAGTGAGTCGCTGGCGCGGCGCGGGGTCGGGGGGCAGCGGTGCGGGCGCCGCCGGGACCGGAGGAGGCCGGCGGGAGACCCATGGTGCCCCGGTGAGCGCTGAGGGCCGGCCCGGGCGGGGGGAGCCGCCGCCAGGCACCGCGGCGGGGTTGGCGCGGCCTGCGCAGCACCCGTGGGAGCGGCAGGGCAGTGGGGCCGGGTCCTCGCCGCTCGCTGCCCCGCGGGGCCTCCCCAGTGCTGGCCGTTCCGTTGTGTCCAGGTCTCGGTTCGCTCCGGTGCCCGCTCCCGGTGCGGCGGTTGCGCTGCGTGCCCGGGGCCTGTCGCTGCGCTCCGGCTCGGATCGCCCTGTGTGGGGTGTGCCGGGGCATCTTGGGGGACCCCAGAGCACGGCCTCAGCGGGGACAGGGCGCCGGTCCGTTTCCAAGGGAGCCGTGCCCTCAAGCTCTGTCTGTGCTCCGCAAGGACAAGCCGCGGGGCAGCCCCGGGTGATGCCGACCGCGGTGGACGTTCCCCGTTGCGGGTCTTTGCCGCCTCCGCAGCGTGTCGTGTCCGTTACAGGCTGTTCCTGCTGCTCCGGTTGAGCTGCGGAGCTCCCTGGCTGTGGGTTGTGCGGACGCGTGTCCTGGGCCCTGCCAGCCTTGGCCCCCGGTGTCCGAACGGCCTCGTCACCACCAGAGGGGTCTGGCGCGGTGCTGCCAACCTGCGCTGTTGCACTTGCCAAGCAGGGCCCTCCTTATCGCAGTAATCGTGTTAGTGCCCGCCCGGGCTCCGGCGCAGGCCCCAGATAAGGGCATAATTGCTGCAAGGAAGTAAATCACGTTGCTGCCCTGCGCTGCTCGGCCTTGGCCGGGCACTGGGGGTGGGAAGAGCAGGGGCTCTGGAGCTGCTCCTGCTTTGCTTGCCTTGTTTTTCCCTTGCAGAGCTTCCTGCCCTTCCTGGCTCCCCCCTCGGAGCCTCTTCCCATGGCTTTCTTCTCCACCGCTCCCCTGAGACGAGGGGTCTGCATTGCTGGGGGCTTTGTACGTCCTTGTGGTGCCAGCCAAGGGGGTGGCAGGAAGGGGCAGCTCTGCTCCCCCCCCATCCCGGGCTGCCTTTGCTCTCCCTGTGTGCGTGTGGCCGCTCTGTGCTGGTTTTGGGGGTTGGCTCCAACCCCCATTTCCATTTGCTGCTGTGGGCAAGGTCTGAGCGGAGTCAGGCCTCATGCTCCTTCCCAGCACATCCCATCTCCATCCCTGCTTGGAGGGGAAGCAGGAGGCTTCTCTGGATCTCTTGCCCCGTGGTGGCAGTGCTGCAGCCCTGTGGTCAGTGACGAGGAGGAGGAGCAGGGTTTGCCTCGGTGCGAGGGCCAGCAGGGCAGGGCTGGCTAACTCCCTGTTTGTCCCCGAACCGCAGGTCGGATGCCACACGAGAGGGGCTGTGCGCTTCTGTTCCCTGCCTGGGGCCTGCCCTGCCCTCCGCGGCGATGGAGTACGTGGTAAGGACCGCGGTGGAGGGCGAGGTGGCTTCGGTGGTGGATCCTGCCTCCCCCCTCTCCTTGCTGGCAGGGCCTCAGCCTCCTCTTCACATCTCATCTGGCATGTCCTGGCTCCTCTTCCCAGCAGCAGAGGTGCTGGCAAGGAACACGTAGGTGCCATATGATGCTCTTGTGATTAGAGTTGTGTTTTTTTTGCTTCCTCCATGCCCTGGAGGCTTGGGGATGGCTCTGTTGTTGGACCAAGAGGGTCTCTTGCCCCCGGCAAGGTGCGTACGTGCGGCAGCAGCTGGTGCACGGCTGCCTGCTCCTCGCTGCAGCTTCTTGCCAAACCACTGGTGTGTTCCAGGTCTGTGACTCAGCTCCCACTTTGTGTTTCCTGGGAGGATGTAGGGCCAGCGCCCGGGAGCACAGCCTCGAGCGTCCCCTCTCTGCTCCTCGCCTCAGGCTGCGTGTGAAGTCTCAGCCCCAGGCACCCAAAAGTAGCCCTTGTCCCTCTGCCTGTCCTGTGTGTGGCAAGGGGAAGGGCAGCTGCCTGCTGGATGGGGCTCATTGCTGCATCTTCAAGCAGGGCCCTTGTTCTGTGGCATCTGCTTTATGTGCTCTGAGCCTGCTAGAAAGGGCTCTTGGATGCCCCGGAATGGGCTGTGGTGACTATTCCTTGTCTCTCCAAGGGCTGAGAGCAGCAATACATCTTGTGACTGCCCAGTGCAGGCTGGTGGGGTGACATGGACTGAGTGGCCTCAGGAGGTTCTGATACAATCAGAAATGATTCCATCTTGGAAAAGTAGAGGCCTGTGTGCGGCTCCGTGGGTATCAGGGATGGCTGCTCTGAGCCCCATTGTCTGGCCGGGCCCTGAGCTGGTGGGAAGGGGCAGAGGAACCCCCCATCCCCTTTGCAGTTCCCTTCTGCTCTTCCCTGGGGAAGCGCTTGTGCTCACGGAGCTGCTGCTGCCGTGCCAAGGGATCCTGGCCCCACATCCGCCGGTGGCCGGGCCCTCGGTGGCTCCCCCCCGGCAGCAGGGGGCTGCGGCTGCCCCTCGCGGGGCTGGCGGCTTCCTGGCTCCCTGGCCCCGGCTTCCTGCTTTTCTTTAGTGCCGTGGCCACGGGAAGGTCACAGCACAGGGGCCCCCGGCGGGGACGAGCTCGTTGGAGGACAGCACCGCGGGCTGCCGGCGCCAGTGGCGGCTGAGGTGGGGCTGGCGTCGCGGCGCTCCAGCACCGGGAGGGTGATGAACCCACCGGCGTGAGCCGTGGCCCCTCGCACCGGGCTGGAGCCTATTTCCAGCTCGGTCCTGGCTTCGTTTCCCTGTCCCCATGGCGCGGTGCCAGAGCTCGAGAAGTGCGGTCGGCAGCCGGGTCCAAGCAGGGAGAGCCCTTCCCTTGGGCTGGATTGACCCGGGGTTGGCGCTGTGGCTGGTGCTCGGCAAGGCCCCTGTCTGTGGTGGGTCAGAGGGATTGAAATCCCTGCTTCAGCCATGTGAGGTGGAAGCAGGGAGACGGAGAAGGAAGGGGAGAGCTTTTGCACCCTGGGGGAGGCTCATACGGATTGATGGTGCCGCCGGTGCGCTGGGAAGGGGGGAGCGGGTGCCCCCGATCCCCGCACCCGCTGCTGGGGGCTCCCCCCGCTGCAAGGGGCCGCAATTTGCTCCCCGCTCGCTCCCTCCCGCTGGCTCCGCCTGTGACCTTGATTTTTCCGCTCCAGATAGGCGCAGGGTCCCCTCCCCTCGCCGCCAGCCCCTCCTGCGCTGCAGCCCCTGCCCGTGAGTCAGCACGGCCCTTCCGAGCAGCGGCGGCCGCTCAGCCCCGCGCCCGCCGGGCTGCGGGAAGCAGCAGCCGTGAGCAGCAGCCGCGTCTCCCGCCCGCGCTGAGCCCACCTGTATCCTGCTCCTTGCGCATCCTCCTGCTCCCGAAGGATCGCTGTCCCTGCATACCCGCCGGCTGCGAGCGCCGCTGGCACCTCAGCATCGCGGCCCCCGGCAGAGCTCGGCGAGCCAACGGCGGCCGCCCGCTGCCGGCACGTGGGTTGCGTGGCTTTGGCCACCACAGAAGGACCTTGTTCGCTCCTGGCCGGTGCTCGCAGCGGGGCTGGGCCGGGCCTTGGATGCGCTCTGAGGCTGCCTTGTCTCAGGGCGTTAAATAT